GGTGGTGGGGCGATTTCAAACATTATTTTTTTTTTAAAATACTTACGAGAAATAAATTCTAAAAGTACTTTTAAAAAGTCACTTCAAACACACTCTTAGGGGCCTATTTTCCTATTAAATTTAAGGTGTTAATATTAGCCGTTAGATTAACTTTAAAGTAAAATTTAAACCAATTTGAACCGCGAAAAGCAAAAGATATTTTGTTTATCTTGTGAAATTTGAATTGTAAGCTACTTTATTATATATACTAGTTATTGTCTGTGTCTGAAGGTACAGAGTAATAAAAAATGGTAAACAATAAACATATTTGTATTCATATCCAAAATAAAATCACAAACATTTAGAAGAGATAAATGAATTTAAGCATTAGTTATAGTAGGGGTAAGAGGTCGTGAGCGACAGTGATGATTGTAAGAGACGGTAATGGTTGTGGTGGGTGACAATGACCGTGGTAGTGGTGATGGTAGTGACGATAGCGACAGCGGCAGTGGCGGTAGTGATGATGGCGACGGCGATGGTGGTGGTGGCAGCAATGGTGGTAGAGGTAGTGGTGGGGGGTAGAGGTAATGGTGGGGCTGTCACGCCCTGAATTTTCACAAACTTGATGAGTAAATATAAAGGAAGAAGAAAAGTAAATGAAAGGTCATTAAATTAGATAAATTAGTTTTTCATTCATTTCTCATATTTTTTCAAAGTTTTTTAAGTAACTTTTCTTCCATTTTTAGCCTATTTCTTCAAGGTTTCTAAACCCCCCCTTTTGACATCCTTCCCACATATTTAAAAGGTGTTTTACACACTCAACAAGTCTTTTAATTTTTTATAAAATTTCAACATAACCTCCTTTGTTTTCAAGCAATTTTTCCACCTAATATTCACAATATTTCATAAAAATTATTATATCACAGCCCACCCTTACTCGGTGGCCACAATCTATGTAAATTAAACATACACATATAATACTTATTACATAAAGATATCCTACATATCAATTGGGTTTACACCCTTACACTTTAAAATGACCCAAGGTCTAAATCCATTACTTTTTCAAATTGAAATACAAGTCATTTGGGCTTATGCCCATACATACAAAATATGCCCAAAGGTTAAATATTGATTCAAGTCCCTTTTCCCTCCTTCCTTTAAGACTTCCTCAAGTCTCAAGTATCGGGAGCCTCATCTGTAATATGATATCCCACGAATGAGTCAACTCAACTGCTGGTATGACAAAATGCTAATGTTAAGAACAAATTTAAGGCTTGACATGTGCAAGTGTACATTTTTAAAAGCTTTAACCCCATGATCCCTCAATGCTATGCAATGTCAATATGCATGACACACCCATGTAACTCTATACCACCCATGTCTCGCTTCATGTTCCACCCCCGTCAGCCCGCGAGTACTGTCATTGGCCAATTTTGAGTTTTTCATCACAGGATCTACACCCTTATAATGCATAACACCAAGTGCTCAACTCACACTATGTTTCAAGGATTCATGTATGCCAAGATACCTTGATTTTTCTCAATGTGAATTTTATGAAACATTTTATCAAACACATTATCTACATGAATGTGAAGCATTGTTCAATGGATTGAACATATGACCAAACTTCATATTCATTACTTTCACAATTTCTCAAAGAAACTATAAATACACAACTACCAACTCATATAATAAATCATAACTCTCAAACCACAAGAGTTTCTCTACATGAACATAAGCTAGAATATAATAATTCAACACATAAGCAATATACACTTTTACCATAGCAACAAATTGTCAACAAACTCAAAAAACACAAAAGTACTTAAACCACTAATTCTAAATTTTCAAAGCAACTACCAACTAAATGATTTTCTAATATCAAGTAAACACCTAAATCATCCAATCAACACACAGGAAGACAAGGAAACTTAAATCTATTCTCAACTTAGCAAAATATCATACCTAAAATAGTTTTTCTCAAATCAAGAGAGTTGTGTTCACTTTATAGCCGAACCGATCATTGAGAATATAACCCTTGTTGAGAGGAACAATTTCTTAGAAGGAAGTCTTGTAAGAATCTTGGCCTAGGAATAAGTTTTGATAGCTTGAAGTTTGAAGAACTTAGAATTTTTCTTCACTTTTCCTCTTGAACGTATACTGCTCTATCTCCAAGCCAAATACTAATTTTTTTTTCACTAAGAGGTTGTATTTATAGTGGAGGGCAAATGTGCAAAATAACTCTTTTGCCCTTGATGAATTCGGGACCCTGTTACGCTACAACTCGTCCCGAAACGTCTCAATTCGATATTTTATTTTAACAAAAGTTCTTAAAATTATTTTAAATAAAATTTTTTTTAAAAAAATAGATTTTCGCTAGTGGCCGAATTTGACTGGTCTCACCTAGGCCACCCGGGATAGCATTTTTGTCTAATTTTTAAAACTATTTTTGTTTGGGCTCAAATTCGCATAGTATGTATATTTTAATATTCTAAGCATGTTTATCTTCTATGACATACTTAAATTATACCCCTAAACATAATTTATGCCTAAATGATGCATATGTAGTGTTCTACCGACAAAACTGAAAAATTTATCCTCACTTTTCAAATCATTATAGAGGCGGTTTCAAATACTATTTTTTCTAAAGTACTTATGAGAAATAATTTCTAGAAGTACTTTTAAAAAGTCACTTCAAACACATTCTTAGGGGTCTATTTTTTCTATTAAATTTAGGGTGCTAATATTAGCCGTTAGATTAACTTTAAAGTAAAATTTAAAGCGATCTGAACCACGAAAAGCAAAAATTATTTTGTTTTTCTTTGAAAATTTAAATTGTAAACTATTTTATTATATAAACTAGTTATTGTCAGTGCCTGAAGGCACAAAATAATAAAAAATGGTAAATAATAAGCATATTTGTATTCATATTTAAAATCAAATCACAAACATAGATGAGAGATAAATATAATTTAAGTATCGATTGCAGTGGGGGTGAGAGTTGGTGGGTGACAGTGGTGGTGGCAAGAAACGGTGATGATTGTGATGGGTGACAATGACCGTGGTGGTTGCAATGGCAGTGACGACGGTGGTGGTGGCGACGGCGACGGCGACGGCAGGGGTGATGGTGGTAGAGGTAGTGATGAGATGATTTCAAACACTATTTTTAAAAAAAATATTTATGAAAAATAATTTGTAAAAATATTTTTTAAAAAATCACTTCAAACACATTCTTAAAGACTTATTTTTTCTATTAAATTTAGGGTGTTAATATTAACTGTTAGATTAACTTTAAAGTAAAACTTAAAGTGATTTCAACCGTAAATAATAAAAATTATTTTGTTTATCTTTTAAAATTTGAATTATAAGGTATTTTATTTTATAAAAGAATATATATATGTTATTTTGATTATTTAGATCATGTCACAATTAAATAATGATTATGTAAGTCTGTAATAAGTATATGGCACTGAATTGCGCATATGTATTTGTGACACGTCAGCAATTGATGATAAAAATGCCAGACCACACAAACAAAGGTGTGAGAGAGTACCAAAAGATCAGCTTGGTTTCTGAGAGAAAAGCTATGGCTTCCACAAGCTCATGCCTACTCCAGACTCTATCGGTTGCTCGCGGGCACAATGCGCAACCTAGCTCCGTCAAGGTTCTCGCCTCTGCACGTGCGCTGCCGGCGCTCCCTAACCGGAGACAGTGGCTGTTCTTGTTGACGGCGACGACAGCACTGAAGGCGGTGGAATTACCGTCGAGAGCGCAGGACATACCGCTGTTTGGGCTGAGGAAGAAGCTGAAGAAAGCGGAGGAGGAAGCGGAGGAGATCGTCAAGGCAGGGTTTGAGACGGCCGAGAAAGGAATCGAAGCGGCCGAGAAAGGAATTGAAGCAGCCGAGAAAGGATTAACAACGGCGGAGAAGGGATTAGCAACGGCGGGGAAGGAGATCGAAAAGGAAGTGAGTTTCGGGGGGTTGGCGCAGGCGGTGGTGGTGGCGGGAGCGGAGGTGGTTGGGGTTCTGATTGCTACTTCAGTTGTGAATGGGATTTTAGGGCCTGAAGCTCAGAAATCGTGAAGATTTTTTTTTATTTGGTGTTTAATGAATATTTCTTCTTGGAGTTGTGTTGTGTTTTATGTAAATTTTGAGTTTTATATCAAATGTATCAGATTATTAATATTTTGAAACCAAAACTTTCCTAACCCATTTGGATTGTATTTGAATATGCAGGCTTATGCAATAGATTTTAGCAAGTGGCAAAAGAATTAGTACATGTGTTTGTAACAACAAAATTGCTTGTGTTCAATTACATTAAAAATTGTTAAATTACTATCGTTTGATGTTAAAAACTAATGACCAAATGGTTTGATTAATGTCTACAACATTATGGGCAAAATGTCTGATTAAAGTTAGTATACGTCTTATAAGCAAAATGTTTTCTTGGGGTGATTGTGATACTGAGATTGATACCGTACCTAAGGTTATTACAAAATTGGTACAGCTTCTAAGTTATAACAGCATAGGATCCACGCCAATACAAAATGTGGATGAAGTCACTACTCATTTTGATAATGTCGGGACTAAATTGTGGTTGAGTTATTAGACCAAAAGGTTAAGTAACCTCAAATTGGCATTTATTCTAAAAGATTAGTATTGATCTCAAATAATTTTACTCTTATATTGTAGTAATTTTTGGGTATAATACAATATTACAGCCCTTGGTCTTATAATAGATAAAATAAAACTTAATGGCCTGCTTGGATGATTTTCTTTCTGGATTGGATTGGATTGAGGTCATGAAGCCCTTTCAAACTCAACCCCAACAATGTATACATGAGATTTAAACAATAAACCTTATTTAATCCTATGTTTATTAAGTTACATAAATATATTTGGAGCCCATAGATTCATGTTACTCAATTGATTAAAATGTCCATTATTAAGTAAACAGAAGAATTATCAGGGGCAGTCCAATAGTCAAGTATGCCCTCTTGCCAGCAAGAGATCTCATGTTCGATATTTCCCACACATTTTAAGGGTTAGTCAACCTTGTTTCTTAGGAGACATATCCTTGAATTAGCTTAAGTTATGGTGGCTCGCTCAGAGCTCAAGAGAGCAGTTAGCTCAAACTTGGACTCCCTGTAGCAAAAAAAAAAACAGTAAATAGATGAACAAATTTTTTGGTATAATAATTTTTTTATCTATAAATCCAACATCTCACTTTTGAAATGCAGCCCCTCATGGATTCTATCAAACCTCCATTCAGAAGTTTTAATCCACTAATTCATTATTGGTCAAAATTCATTTATTCTACAAATTATGGGCCTTATATCTTGAACCATATATGAGTTTAGAAGATGCATTAGACTATTTTTACAAAACATACCCTTTAAATCCCACTCAAATCCAAATACCAAACAAGTCCTAAGACGTTAGAGACAAGTTTAGGGGTACCAGAATATTGCAGACCTAATGCTCTTTTGGTTGATTGGAAATTCGTTTTCATTGACCTACTTTCTGATTACTAGTTTAGTCAGTTATTTGCTAGGATTATCACCAATGTCAGTTATTTGCTAGTACCCACACACCAAGTAGGGTAGTCCAGTGGAGCATCGGTCAAATTTCTTATTCTGAGGTTGAAAGTTCAAATCTTGAAGTCTAAATTGGGGCTCGGTAGTTGACCACTATACTAGCATAGTTAGGTTCGTTCCTGAGAGAAGTAACGGGCGCAATTAGGGACCTCATGATCCTAAAAGTGAAGGTCTGTCGGAGTGATCTTTGGATACTCTCTTTTACCCCCACTCCTTTTTTATTTAGCCAAAAAAAAATTAGTAACTATACTTTTCTAAGTGAGACGAAAAATCAACTTATATGTATCTCATTGAAGAATTGTGTGGGTAATGGCTAAAAGAGAAATATTTACTTTTAGGATGGGAAACATATCCACAATTGGGCGGTGGTTGAAAACCCAGCATGGGCTAATGGAGCAATCCATCTTCAATCAATAAAGGAATCATGTAAACTAGAGCTTTGAAGTTACTTCAAAAGATTTTTTTTTTAATTACAGGTGTTCAGGTTTGTATCGATTACTCTTTAGAATTTTGAGTCAATCATTATAAGTCAAACTAATTTAAAGACATATCTCTTGAGAATCAAAGGTGACTGACCCTTAACAAGTGTACGAAATATCAATAACCTTAGGTACAAACTTGAACAATTTTAATGTGACCCTTAAAGGTTGGTTTCACAATGGCATCTGTTTTATTTATCTTTTGTGGCCTTGCAATTGTCATATTGAAAAAACCCCTTTATTGATTTCAATTTCATTGGCAATATCTTTGTATGTATCTACCCTTCTGTATCCAAGTCATGTAACAAAGTAATAGGATGCACCCTAGGAAGCACGGATACACAGATATGAGATATGTGTATGATGTGATCATATGATAAAACTATAAAAAATAAGATACAAGTACGGTGAAGATACGTCTATAAAAACATGTATCTTTTATTTGTACTATTATGTAATGACTTGATAGTTTATAATTTTTAGTAATTCTCTAACAATAATTAACAACATGAATAATTTTTTATTTTCAAAAAGTCACCTATTGTCTTACTATAAAACATCTATAAAGTGAACGTGATTAATTAAAAAAATAAGAACCAATATTTAACTATATTATTTTCTTGAAGTGTCTATTGCTAAGTATATAGTGTAATCAATTCATTTAACTAATTGGACATGTGATTAAAANGGATTGGATTGAGGTCATGAAGCCCTTTCAAACTCAACCCCAACAATGTATACATGAGATTTAAACAATAAACCTTATTTAATCCTATGTTTATTAAGTTACATAAATATATTTGGAGCCCATAGATTCATGTTACTCAATTGATTAAAATGTCCATTATTAAGTAAACAGAAGAATTATCAGGGGCAGTCCAATAGTCAAGTATGCCCTCTTGCCAGCAAGAGATCTCATGTTCGATATTTCCCACACATTTTAAGGGTTAGTCAACCTTGTTTCTTAGGAGACATATCCTTGAATTAGCTTAAGTTATGGTGGCTCGCTCAGAGCTCAAGAGAGCAGTTAGCTCAAACTTGGACTCCCTGTAGCAAAAAAAAAAACAGTAAATAGATGAACAAATTTTTTGGTATAATAATTTTTTTATCTATAAATCCAACATCTCACTTTTGAAATGCAGCCCCTCATGGATTCTATCAAACCTCCATTCAGAAGTTTTAATCCACTAATTCATTATTGGTCAAAATTCATTTATTCTACAAATTATGGGCCTTATATCTTGAACCATATATGAGTTTAGAAGATGCATTAGACTATTTTTACAAAACATACCCTTTAAATCCCACTCAAATCCAAATACCAAACAAGTCCTAAGACGTTAGAGACAAGTTTAGGGGTACCAGAATATTGCAGACCTAATGCTCTTTTGGTTGATTGGAAATTCGTTTTCATTGACCTACTTTCTGATTACTAGTTTAGTCAGTTATTTGCTAGGATTATCACCAATGTCAGTTATTTGCTAGTACCCACACACCAAGTAGGGTAGTCCAGTGGAGCATCGGTCAAATTTCTTATTCTGAGGTTGAAAGTTCAAATCTTGAAGTCTAAATTGGGGCTCGGTAGTTGACCACTATACTAGCATAGTTAGGTTCGTTCCTGAGAGAAGTAACGGGCGCAATTAGGGACCTCATGATCCTAAAAGTGAAGGTCTGTCGGAGTGATCTTTGGATACTCTCTTTTACCCCCACTCCTTTTTTATTTAGCCAAAAAAAAATTAGTAACTATACTTTTCTAAGTGAGACGAAAAATCAACTTATATGTATCTCATTGAAGAATTGTGTGGGTAATGGCTAAAAGAGAAATATTTACTTTTAGGATGGGAAACATATCCACAATTGGGCGGTGGTTGAAAACCCAGCATGGGCTAATGGAGCAATCCATCTTCAATCAATAAAGGAATCATGTAAACTAGAGCTTTGAAGTTACTTCAAAAGATTTTTTTTTTAATTACAGGTGTTCAGGTTTGTATCGATTACTCTTTAGAATTTTGAGTCAATCATTATAAGTCAAACTAATTTAAAGACATATCTCTTGAGAATCAAAGGTGACTGACCCTTAACAAGTGTACAAAATATCAATAACCTTAGGTACAAACTTGAACAATTTTAATGTGACCCTTAAAGGTTGGTTTCACAATGGCATCTGTTTTATTTATCTTTTGTGGCCTTGCAATTGTCATATTGAAAAAACCCCTTTATTGATTTCAATTTCATTGGCAATATCTTTGTATGTATCTACCCTTCTGTATCCAAGTCATGTAACAAAGTAATAGGATGCACCCTAGGAAGCACGGATACACAGATATGAGATATGTGTATGATGTGATCATATGATAAAACTATAAAAAATAAGATACAAGTACGGTGAAGATACGTCTATAAAAACATGTATCTTTTATTTGTACTATTATGTAATGACTTGATAGTTTATAATTTTTAGTAATTCTCTAACAATAATTAACAACATGAATAATTTTTTATTTTCAAAAAGTCACCTATTGTCTTACTATAAAACATCTATAAAGTGAACGTGATTAATTAAAAAAATAAGAACCAATATTTAACTATATTATTTTCTTGAAGTGTCTATTGCTAAGTATATAGTGTAATCAATTCATTTAACTAATTGGACATGTGATTAAAATTAAAAATTACACATACTTCGATGCATATAGAAGTATTCGCAAGGTATCCATATATTTTCTTTATTTCTAGATACATTTGGTGTGTATTCGATATGTATCTTCGAATATCCAACAAGTATCGTATCCGATATGGATATGTCAACCTTCACAAAATATCCATATTTCATATAATACAGCTATATCCGCATTTCATAGAATCTATATAATAAAATAACTTACAATTCAAATTTTAAAAAATAAACAAAATGACTTTTGTTATTTGCGATTGAGATCATTTTAAATTTTACTTTAAAGTTAATCTAACGGCTAATATTAACACCCTAAATTTAANCCACCATTGC